TCTCTTTTTCTCTTTCTTGCTTTGCTTTCTCTTCTTTTTCTCTCTTTCTCTTTCTCTTTACTTTCTCGTCTTTCTTCTCTGTTCTCTCTCTCTCTCTACGTCTCTCTCTCGTCTCTCTCCTCTCTTCTTTTTTTCTTTCTTTCTTTCTTTTCTTTTCTTTCTTTCTTTCTTTCTTTTCTTTCTTTTGCTCTCTCTCTCTCTCTCTCTCTCTCTCTCTCTCTCTCTCTCTCTCTCTCTCTCTCTCTCTCTCTCTCTCTCTCTCTCTCTCTCTCTCTCTCTCTCTCTTCCTCTCTCTTCCTCCTCTCTCTCTCTCTCTCTCTCTCTCTCCTCTCTCTCTCTCTCTCTCTCTCTCTCTCTCTCTCTCTCTCTCTCTCTCCTCTCTCTCTCTCTCTCTCTCTCTCTCTCTCTCTCTCTCTCTCTCTCTCTCTCTCTCTCTCTCTCTCTCTCTCTCTCTCTCTCTCTCTCTCTCTCTCTCTCTCTCTCCTCTCTCTCTCTCTCTCTCTCTCTCTCTCTCTCTTCTCTCTCTCTCTCTCTCTCTCTCTCTCTCTCTCTCTCTCTCTCTCTCTCTCTCTCTCTCTCTCTCTCTCTCTCTCTCTCTCTCTCTCTCTCTCTCTCTTCTCTCTCTCTCTTCTCTCTCTCTCCTCCTCCCTCTCCTCTCTCTCTCCCTTCTCTCTCTCCTCTCTCTCTCTCTCTCTCTCTCTCTCTCTCTCTCTCTCCCTCTCTCCTCTCTCCCTCTCCCTCCCCTCTCCTCTCCCTCCCTCCCTCCCCTCCCTCCCTCCCTCCCTCCCCATCCATTCATCAGCCAATTTACGGTGTCTATGTCTATTTAATTTGGATCCTCAATAAACGAGGAATTGAGTTACTCCCAAATGAATAGAAGATAATAATCAATCTTTCCTCCCTCTCTTCTGTTGTGTGTGTTGTTGTTTGTTGTTTCTGTCTCTCTCTCTCTCTCTCTCTCTCTCTCTCTCTCTCTCTCTCTCTCTCTCTCTCTCTCTCTCTCTCTCTCTCTCTCTCTCTCTCTCTCTCTCTCTCTCTCTCTCTCTCTCCCTCTCCCTCTCCTCTCCCTCTCCCTCTCCCTCTCCTCTCCTCTCCTCTCCTCTCCTCTCTCTCTCCTCTCCTCTCTCTCTCTCTCTCCCTCTCCCTCCCTCTGACTCTCCCTGTCTCTCGTCCCTCTCTCTCTGTTCCTCTCTCTCTCTTCCCTCTGTCCCTCTCTCTCTCTCCTCCCTCCACTCTCTCTCTCTCTCTCTCTCTCTCTCTCTCTCTCTCTCTCTCTCTCTCTCTCTCTCTCTCTCTCTCTCTCTCTCTCTCTCTCTCTCTCTCTCTCTCTCTCTCTCTCTCCTCTCTCTCCCTCCTCCCTCCTCCTCTCTCCTCCTCTCTCCCTCCTCCCTCCCTCCCTCCCTCCCTCCCCCCCCCTTCTCTCTCTCTTCCCTCTCTCTCTTTCCCTCTCTTCAGACCTTTCTTTCTCCTTTACTGTTACAAATACACGCACGTCTAGTCCATGTAGTCTATTTCCACGCGAGCAAATGGTCTAGAAATGTAGGTCTTCTGTCGCCATCTATCACAACCTGTCTGACCCCCACCCAGCACCTTCTTTTCTATCTCCTCTCTTTCTTGTGCTCCTATCTTCGCCTTTCATAGCCCTTGTTCTTCCTCCGTCTTCCATGCCCTTTTCTTTCTTCTGCTTCTTCCTCCGTCTTCCATGCCCCTTCTTCTTTCTTCTTATGCCCTTTTCTTCTGCGTCTTCTCCTTCTCGGTCCTCTTCTCTTTCGTTTTCTCGACGCCTTCTTCCCATTCGTTCTTCGACTTCTACGCTTTCTTGTTTCGTTGTTCGCCATCTATGCCTTCGTCTCTTTCATTCTCCTTCACCACTCTTTCTTTTTTCCCTTTTTATGCTTTCTTCTATTCCCATTTCCGCTTTTTCGTTTTTTTTTTATTTCCTTTTACGCTTCTTTTTTCTCGTGTCCGCTTTCTTCGCCTTCCACGCTGACCATCCCCCTACGCTTCAACGCTCTCTTCTCCCTCCCTCCTCCTCCTCCTTCTTCTTCTTCTTCTTCTACTTCTTCTTCTTCTACTTCTTCTACTTCTCCTTGTGTGAGATGCCAACTAATAGTTGAGGCAGCTCCCGTAGCATTAGATATATAATGATAGTTATTATAGCACAGTATCATAACTATGCCACATCGTCTACCCTCCTCTACCTCCCCAGCTCTCCCTTCGCTCCGTGTCGATAACCCGCCCGTAAATCCACGGTCGGGTAGAAGGCGTCCATGGCGGTCTTCTGTGGTATTGGGAGAACCTTTACTTACACAGGGTGGATAGGGACTCGGGGGGGGATAGGGGTTGGGGTCGGGGTGTAGGGCTCTGGGAGGTTAGGGAAGGGAATAGGAAGGAGGATGTCCTTTCTCTCTGTCTTGCCTGTCTGCCGGTCTCTCTCTCTCTCTCTCTCTCTCTCTCTCTCTCTCTCTCTCTCTCTCTCTCTCTCTCTCTCTCTCTCTCTCTCTCTCTCTCTCTCTCTCTCTCTCTCTCTCTCTCTCTCTCTCTTCCTTCCCTCCCTCCTTTTTTACTCCTTCCATCCTGTTCTCTCTTTCTGCTTCAATTGTCCTATATCTTAAAGGGGAAGTCGGGGGAGAAGTAAAACTATGGGGGAAGTTGGGGGAAAGGAGAGCTTGGGGAAGTAATGAGACCACGGCGAGGTTTTCAAGCTAAGGAGGCGAATGAGGGGAGGGAGTCACGAAGATAACCATCCGCGTCGATCATAGATGGCAGAAAGGTCGGCGATCTTATCAATGAGGTTTCGAAGGCTTGTCGTTTTAAGCTGCCCCCTCGATCGCGTTCAAAAAAGGTATTTATGAATGCTCGCGCGGATTTTAGTCGCGTGAGTAGCGAATTGTGTATAGAAGACTGGTCAAGGATGCCGTCAAATCGCTAACTAATCCCCTGGGAGTATCTTTTCTTCAGGGTAACCGTTTTTTATTACTCGCCTTGAAGTTGAAGAGGGACAGCTGTCTTATGTTTATCGTACGTCTTATTGTGAGAGTTTGCGAGCGACCGTTAGTGTCACGTGTGTGTGCTCTAAGCTTGGGTTTTAGCACTGTAGATGTGAAAATTATTACGGAGCAGTGGGTAATGGATTCACTCGATTTTTTGGAAACATTAAAATTTCGAGTCTGATTTATCAAAGGCGGCATAAAATGAAAGCTAATACGATGTTCATTATATAATTGTTATTTCATTTCATGGTTTATTTCGCGCAGTCTAATTTGCAGGGGATAAGCCTCATTATGCACATACAGACAGTCAACTCTCTCTCTCTCTCTCTCTCTCTCTCTCTCTCTCTCTCTCTCTCTCTCTCTCTCTCTCTCTCTCTCTCTCTCTCTCTCTCTCTCTCTCTCTCTCTCCTCCCTCCTCCCTCCCCTCCTCCCTCCCCCCCCTCCCCTCTTTCCCTTCCTTCCCTCCCTCAGAGGTTGACTGAATGTTGACTGAGGACTGACTGAAGGTTGACTGAGGACTGACTGAATGACTGAGACTGAGGTTGACTGACTGACTGAGGTTGACTGACTGACTGAGGTTGACTGAGTGACTGAGGTTGACTGACTGACTGAAGGTTGACTGAGGCTGACTGAAGGTTGACTGACTGACTGACTGACTGAAGGTGACTGACTGAAGGTTGACTGACTGACTGAAGGTTGACTGAACTGAGGACTGACTGAGAGGTTGACTGACTGAACTGAAGGTTGACTGAGGGTGACTGAACGGCTGACTGAAGGACTGACTGAACTGAACTGAGGACTGAAGGTTGACTGACTGAGGACTGAGGTCTGACTGAAGGTTGACTGACTGACTGAAGGTTGACTGACACTGAAGTTGACTGACTGACTGAAGGTTGACTGAGAACTGACTGAACTGAGAACTGACTGAAGGTTGACTGAGCTGACTGAAGGTTGACTGAGCTGACTGAGGTTGACTGAGAGTGTTGACTGACTGACTGACTGACTGAGTTGACTGAGGACTGACTGAAGGTTGACTGAGGACTGACTGAACTGACTGACTGAAGGTTGACTGAGACTGACTGAAGGTTGACTGAGGACTGACTGAAGGTTGACTGAGGACTGACTGACTGAAATGACTGAGGTCTGACTGAAGGTTGACTGAGGACTGAGGACTGAAGGTTGACTGAGGACTGACTGAAGGTTGACTGAGACTGACTGAAGGTTGACTGACTGAAGGTTGACTGACTGACTGAAGGTGACTGACTGACTGAAGGTTGACTGAGGTCTGACTGAAGGTTGACTGAGGACTGAATGACTGACTGAGGTTGACTGACTGACTGAGCTGACTGACTGAAGGTTTGACTGACTGACTGAAAGGTTGACTGAGGTTGACTGAAGGTGACTGACTGACTGAACTTGACTGAGGTTGACTGAGGTTGACTGACTGACTGAAGGTTGACTGAGGACTGAAGGTTGACTGTTGACTGACTGACTGAGCTGAGAAGGTTGACTGAGAACTGACTGAAGGTTGACTGAGGACTGACTGAGGTTGACTGAGACTGACTGAGGTTGACTGAGGACTGACTGAAGGTTGACTGAGAAGACTGACTGACTGAAGGTTGACTGAGGCTGACTGAAGGTTGACTGAGGACTGACTGAAGGTTGACTGAGGTCTGACTGAGAGTTGACTGAGGTCTGACTGAGGTTGACTGAGGTCTGACTGAAGGTTTGACTGACTGACTGAAGTTGACTGAGTTGATGAAGGTTGACTGACTGACTGAAGGTTGACTGAGGACTGACTGACGACTGAATTGACTGACTGACTGAAGGTTGACTGACTGGGTCTGACTATGACTGACTGAAGACTGAGGTGACTGAGGTTGACTGAGGTTGACTGAGGCTGACTGAAGGTTGACTGAGGCTGACTGGAAGGTTGACTGAGGACTGCTGAAGGTTGACTGAGACTGACTGAAGGTTGACTTGAGGACTGACTGAAGGTTGACTGAGGTCTGACTGAAGGTTGACTGAGGTCTGACTGAAGGTTGACTGAGGTCTGACTGAAGGTTGACTGAGGTCTGACTGAAGGTTGACTGAGGAGGTTGACTGACTGAAAGGTGACTGAGGACTGACTGAAGGTTTGACTGACTGACTGAAGGTTGACTGAGGACTGACTGAAGGTTGACTGAGGACTGACTGAAGGTTGACTGAGGACTGACTGAAGGTTGACTGAGGACTGACTGACTGAAGGTTGACTGACTGATTGAAGGTTGACTGAGACTGACTGAAGGTTGACTGAGGACTGACTGAAGGTTGACTGAGGACTGACTGAAGGTTGACTGAGGGACTGACTGATTGACTGACTGAAGGTTGACTGAGGACTGACTAAGGACTGAGGGCGTTTTGGTAGTTATTGATAGTCTGTGGTCGTCATAACCGGTTCATAATATCTCTCTGGGATGGGGGAGGTAGGGGGGTGGCTCTGACTTCTCCACGAGCTGTTTTTTCCGTTTCTTAATGATTTACGTCATTCGGTAGCGTGGAAAAAAAAGGTATGTATTTGTGAATGGGAGTAGGGTTGTTGCGGTTGGTGCCGTGTCGTCTAAACATTCACGCAGGCTCACCGAGGAGGGCTGTGCTTGCTGCGGTCACGAGCATGTAATCTACCAAAGTGAGCGAGTTTGGCTGCGAACAGTGGCCGCGCTAATTTCTTTATGGACGATCTAATAGCATTGTCGAGTTTTCACGACCATTAGTAAATTCATGAATTCTGGAGCACGCCGACAGACACATTCTTTCACATGCACTCGTTCAGACGCTCAAGCACACACGCACACGTACACGCACATGCACACGCACACGCACATGCACACGCAAACGGACGCACACACACAAACGGAATCATGTACACACACAAAAGAATGCGCACGCACACACACACACACACACACACACACACACACACACACACACACACACACACACACACACACACACACACACACACACACACACACACACACACACACACACACACACAGACTTACACACATATGTACACACACAATCAAACACTAATTTCACATGCCGAAATGATCATTACTTCAATTTGAATATATTACTCCCGGGATTGAATATACGTAGTATTTATACCCTGTATAATACTTTTAATGACAGTCATTGTGGTGTAATTGTGATTGTGGTGGAACTGTATTTTGCCGTGTGTAGAGAACTAGCCTTCGGAATTAGACTCGCACTACTGTGGTGTCAAAGTGAAGCCAAGTATATATAGAGTGTAGGTATGATTTGTATAGAGTATGTTTGAATAGCGTGTATACGGTATATATATTTGTTTTAATTAGATAAATATAAATGTAGAGTGAATGGCGGTTTGTATGAATAGCGTATATAGTGATGTTCATTGATGACGTCCCACAGCACGAACACGTCCAGGGAAAAGATGATTTTGAGACATTGGTTTCGGGAATGGGTGTCGTGTTCGTGGCACAAACGTTCTTGGAATCGTGGGAATCTGGCCCGTGTTGCGCCACTTCTGTTGCATTTCTTGCAGGCAATGCGCGGTCGTTTCCCTCTGTCTTCGGCTGCCTTGCTTATGTTTTTTTTTTCTTCTTTCTTTATTCATTAATTCTTTCTTTGTTAGTTATGTCTTTTTCTTCTACTCTGTCTCTTTCCTTCTTTCCCCCCCCCCTCTCTCTCTCTCTTCCCTACTTCCCTTCTTCCCTCCATCCCTCTCTCTCTCTCTCTTTCCCTGATTCCCTTCTTCCATCCATCCCCCCTCTCTCTCCTACCCTACTTCCCTTCCCTCCATCACTCTCTCTCTCTCTCTCTCCTTCCCTACTTCTCTTTTTCCCTCCATCCCTATTTTTTTCCTTCCCTCCTTTCCACCATCCATCCCTCCCTTCCTCATCTCCCTCACCCTTTACCCCACCCTTCCATCCCTCCCTCCCTGGCTTACTCCTTCCCTTCATTTCTCTCTCTCTCTCCCTCCCTCCCTTCCTCGCTCACTCACTCTTTACCCCATCCTTTCTCCCTTCTTCCATACCTCCTTACCTCCTCTCTTCCCCTCCCCCTCCCTTCCTTCCTTCCCTCCCTCCCTCCCCTCCTCTCCCTTCCCCTCCTTCCCTCCTTCCCTCCTTCCCTCTCCTCCCCTCCTCCCCCCCACCCAATCAATACCTACATTGTCTCCGAACATGATCTATCAGCTGACGCGACGTGTCCCAAACGGCCCTACATTTCCTTTCTCGTCTGACCTCGTATCAGCTCATTCCGCGCCTCTTAATAGACCCTCACCTCCCCCTGACCTTTGCCGTGCATTGCTCCTTGACCTTCCCCGGGATTATTACATTTAACATGCCCTTTGACCTTTCTGCCTCTTTGGACTTTCCTTTGCAGGTGTTGGCTTCATCACGTCGCATGAACATTTGCTCGATTTGGTGTGTGTGTGTGTGTGTGTGTGGTGTGTGTGTGTGTGTGTGTGTGTGTGTGTGTG